ATCAATGGAGAATGGCAACCCCATGGTTGTTCTCTCCATTTTCATCAGCTGTGGCTTTCTGTGATCGTCTCAGGTCTGCTGTAAAACAGGTTTCTTTGATGATGGCTGAGAACTACACTCTCCACACACTGAACTAGAGTACAGGACCCTTGCATGTATTTTTCAGTTATAGGTAGTCTGGCCCATGTGAACATTTTAATCTAACTTGTTCTTTAAAATTTATAAATTTCAAGATTAGCTCTGGTTTATCCATTGGGTCTTGTAGAACATTTTAGAATATGGTGAACACCTTGTCCTGGGAATATTTAACTTCAGAATTTATGATGTAAAAACTTTATAGATAAAAAGCCTAGCTAGCTTTATGGTAAATTATACTTTACTTTAAGAAAGAAGCAATTCTCAGAGCAAGACTATTTGCTCAGACATTTTCAACCAATAGATAAGGAAGGAAATTTTGAACTAAAATTTTATGAGATCAGAAATGACCCCGATACCCAAATCAAAGTTGTTATAAAAAGAAAATTAGACGAGCATCTTTGGCCATCACAGACTGAAAAAGCCTACAGACTATTTTACAAAAATAAATCAGGAATACAAAGTCTGCTGAGCATTAGAAAGTTAGAATAATTCACAATTTGTGTAATTTAACAGAAAAATTGTGATCGTGTCAGTAAATGTAGAAAAAATTTACAGAGTTCAGTCATGAAGTACATTTGAAGTGAACTCTCTAACTCCGATAAAGATGCCTGTGCCAGACTCCTCACATCACCATTGTAAGAGACTGAATACACTTTCTCCTTTGGTACACCTCAGACAAGGCTATCTCTGTTTTCAACTTGGCAGAAGTCTTAGAAGGCTGAGGAATATGAGGAAAAGAGAAAAGGCAGGCCATTGAGAATCACTGTAAAACTGCCCTTTTTTTTTTTTTTTTTTTTTTTTACAGACAGTATTGTTGTGTGTATAAAAACCCAGAGGGACTTACAAGAAAGTGGGATGTTCAATAAGCAAGGTGTTGAGATGCAAGGTCACTTACAGACAGCAGCTTTGTGTATGTAGTCATGTGTCGTGAAAGTTCAAGGTGAGAAGGGATTTTTGAATCAAATATCCATTATGAACAAATATCCAAATAATGGACATTGTCAGAAAAAGTAATTCCTTTGCTTGTTGAATTAAATGCAAAAGTAAAAATGATTGAACTTCTAGAAGAAAAAGGACAAAATCTGTATGATCTTGAGGAACTCCAGTATTTCTTAGGCACAGAACTACCTGTATAAAAAAAGTGCATCTTATATTTCATCAAGTTAATAGTCTTGGTTTTTTTTAAAGACCCAGTTATGACCACTTGACAGTTTTCTGTGACTCAGTAATTCTAGTCCTAATTCTTTTTTCTAGGCATATTAAAATGTGTATCAGTGTAAAATTTTGAGTGAGGATACAGCCTCTCTTTTGTTTTGTTTTAAATAGCAACCATTCCCAAATAGCCCAAGAGTAGAACAGATCAATGGCTGTCTTGGATGGGTCAGCAAATGCGGTCTCTGTCACCAGGGCCACGCCACAATGCTAAGGAGGGAGCTGCTGCAGACAGCAGCATGGGTACATCTCTCAGAAACTGTTGAACACACTCCATAAGACCCATTTCTACGAAGCTCTAGAAAAACACTTCTCAAACTGTGCGTCACAACCCCTTTGGGGTCGCAGATCAGATATTTATATTGTGATTCATAATGACAGTTATGAAGTAGCAATGAAAGAATTTTATGGTTGGGGGTCACCAGTACATGAGGAACTGGATTAAGGGGTCGCCGCATCAGGAAGGTTGGGAACCATTACCCTAGAATAAAGCAGAAAAGAACCTACTAGGTGCTCAGTGGCCACCTGAGATTGGAAAGGTGGGAGGGAGAACTATAGGTGTTCAGGGCATGTTTTAGTTTTGTCTCACACTGTTGTGATAAAATGCCCTGAGAGAAGTAGCTTAGGGGAGAAAGGGTTTCTTTTAGGTCACAGTTCACAGTTCCAAATTACAGTCCATCATAGCAGAGCAGCTAGAGTGGCAGGAGCTTGAGAGAACTGGTCACGTTACATCCACAGTCGAGAACAGAGCAGCAAATTCATGCCTGTGTACATGCTACTCCTCAACTGGCTTTGCCTACTTTTATATAACTCAAGAATGGTGCTACCCACAGTGGGTAGACCTTCCCACCCTAATCGGTACAGTTGAGGTATTCCTCCAAGACACGCCCACAAGATATCCTGATCTAGATAATCTCTTATTACTGAGATTCTCTCCTTAGTTGGGTGTGGTGGCACATGCCTTTAATCCCAGCACTGGGGAGGCAGAGGCACGAGGATCTCTGTGAGTGCTAGGCCAGCCTGGGCTACAGATCAAGTTCCAGGACTGCCAGGGTTACACAGAGAAACCTTGTCTGGGAGGGTGGGGGGCACAAAACAATAACAACAAAAACAGAGAGAGTGCAGTTCCATTCTCTGGTGATCCTAAGTTTTGTCAAAATAACAGTTAAAATCACAGAGGAGATTGATTACCTGTAATGATTTCTCCGTAATGCTTAAATATTATACACTAAAAATGGGTATGTACACTCATTCTACCAACATAGTGTCTAGCTAACTCTTTTTTGTTTTGTTGTTGTTTTTTTTTTTTTTTTTTTTGCTTTTTTTGAGACAGGGTTTCTCCATGTAGCTTTGGAGACTTTCCTGTAACTCACTGAGCCTGTATCCCAGGCTGGCCTCAAACTCACAAAGAACCGCCTGCCTCTGCCTCCCGAGTGCTGGGATTAAAGGCATGCGTCACTACCGCCCGGCGTGTCTAGCTCTTGAAAAAAGTCATTTGTGACCTCGCAGTAGAAGGTGGGCCTTCTGATTCTAGCCACACTTCCCACCTCCAGTCTATCCTAGAGAGGTCGTGTTCAGGCAAGGCATGATTGAGTACTGCCCCAAGATTTGAGCTCCAGTAACTAGGGGCATATGGTCCAGGGTGAAGGTGAACTGTTTTGCTGTGGATTTACTAGGGTTCATTTAGGGTGTTATACTTCCCATTGTGTTAAGGGAAAACAATCCAAGAAGTCCTGGGAGGTGGAAGACCAAAGGAACCAGCTTAATGGGTGCATGTTGGAGAAGGGCTTTTCCCATGGAGAATGGGGGGTGGGGGGGTGGGGTTAAGAAATGCTGGCACAGGGACACTTCCTTACTCTGGGATTCACAGCTGGGGCTGGAATGCTACTGTTCTGTTTTCTAGTACTTTGGGCAGTTTACTTAATGTCACTCTGATGGAGGTCCCTTTAAGATTGCTAAAATCACTGGGTAGTGAAGAGCTTATTAAAGCTCCTGCTGTTAGTGTGCAAAAATGCCTTTGTCATTTTTGTTTGTTTGTTTGTTTTTTGTTTTGTTTGTGTGTGTGTGTGTGTGTGTGTGTGTGTGTGTGTGTGTGTGTGTGTGTGTCATACACTGTATTGTAATTTGGGTGTATTACCTCCTGTTGTACTCAAAACAGTCCCTTAGGTTATCCCCTCTTTTATGTTGGAGGAAGCAGGTTCTGAGAGTGAGGTCACATCCCCAGGTGAGCTGGGTGTATGTAAACTCAGACAGGCAGCTCAGTCTGACTCCACCCAAGATGGGCAGGAGAGCCTCGCCCAAGGGGCTCAGGAAGTGGTGTTCTTGTAGGAAATTTGGAGATTGGGGCAAAAGAAGTGAGCAGCAGAGGTGAATCTTTCAGGAGAGACTTGAGCACTGAGGTTTTTTTCGAAAGTCTCAGGTAGTGAGTGAGTTTCTAACAAGTCACTAAAGTGTGCCTTCATTGAGTGGCTGAGCGCTCACCGTGTCTGACTTGTGTGCAGGGGGAGAAGTGGCCCCCAGGGGAGTGCAGTCCAGTCTAACAGCCTTGTACTGCAATGGACTGTGTGCCCAGGCCGTCCTGGCCCTAGGAGAGCAGGAGTTCTTAGACACGTGACAGAATGTCCTTCTGTGTAGGGTGACCCCTCCCTATCCTGCTGCATCTGGCCCTGCATGTCATCAGCCACATGCTACACAGGGGAGGAGATACCTGGAGACTGAGACTCAGGGTCATTTAATAGACTTCCATAAACTACCCTAGAAAAGCACTTTTCATTTCCCAAGGCCCAGAGGGAGGGGAGGAGAACTCATTCTGTATGGCTCCCGTGGAGTCTACCTGGCCAGAGGCTTTCCAGTGCTCATGACCATGACTCCTGCAGGGCTGCAGAGAAGGCCAGGTGGGAGGGAGAAGAGAGCCCGATAGTGAAAGCATTACACAGGAGGTCCTGGTGTCATTACAGTGTGGAAAGCCAGGTGCATCATGAAGAGATTAGCTAGCCTTTACAAGAGGCGAACTCTATCCCTGCCAGGGAGCACACTGAGATCACCATGAATCGAAGTCCTCCTGAACGAGCAAGGGTAACATTGGTAATACATCAAGAGACAGATCTGTCTGGTCCTCCAGGCTTCACCAGTCCCAGCAGGGCAAGTGTTGAGTAGATGCTAAGATGTTTTCCCCTGAGTGTATACAGTGAATTTCCCAGCTGCCTGCTCCACTGTGATGCCCACCCCAAACCTGGGCATTTCCATTTTTATTGAAGAAGGACCTGTTTTATTGAAAACATTGGAGTGAGTGAGTTGTTCAGAAAAAACAAGATTGCTTAGCATGTTAGTTGATGGCATTTAAAAAAATGTTTTCTTCTGAGTTTTTGTATGAGTAGAGGAATTCCTAAATGTCTGCTCACTTAGTGGTATTGACGTCTGAGGAACCCAAACTCTGCTTGGGATTTTATTTATTCATTCATTCATTCATTCATTTATTTACTGTCTCAAGTATATTCTCAGGTTTCTATCATGAGATTTTGAATAATACAAACTACTATGAAGTGGCTTGAAGTCACTCTTTGTGTATGTAGTTTGTGTTATAAGTTCGTGGCTTTTGTTAGTTTAATTCATTATCCTGAGGTTCTTACTTTTCTCTTAATTGAATGCAGAAGTCAACAGTAAGAAGTATTACAAGTACAGCACAGAGAAGACGCTGAAGTGGCTGGTGAAAAAGGTGTGTGGCCTTGAGACTAGACAGTAAGACCAGATGCACAGCCATCCCGAACATCCAGGAAAATGCCTATAGAGATCCCAGGTTAAACAGAACCTAGTTTTCTTTTGATTGCATGGTCCTGTCCCAGAATGCCAGGAGCTCTCGTGGTTGGATGTTGTTCACATAACCGGGAGGGGCAGATTAACTCGAGAGTCTTTTCTCTCCGTTCTCACAGCACCTCCCACCATGTCGTGGGGGTCTCCGGAAGCTCGCCCATGTGTTGAGATCCGTCAATACTGCGGCCCCACCTCTCTTTAACTGCGCAGCCGGCTCGTTTCCTGACAGCTGGGATCTCAGTCATTGTTCTGTTGCTGTGAAGAGACATGGCCAAGGCAACTCTTCTAAAAGCATTTATTCAGTTGGGCTCTTGCTTATAGTTTCAGAGGTTTAGTTCATTATCATCCTGGCGGGGAGCATGGCACTGGAGCAGTAGCTGAGAGATACACCCTGATCCGTAGATAGAGAAGCAGGCACTGGGCCTGGCATGGCCTTTTGAAACCTCACTTCCTCTATAAAGGCCACACCTACCCCAACAAGGCCGGCCTCCAAATCCTTTCAAAGAGTTCGACTCCTTGGCGATTAAGTGTTCAAATATATGATCCTATGGGGGTCATTCTTATTCAAACCACCACAGCTAACAAAGATAGTTCTAGGTGCTTAAATATTTCCTGGATATCAGGTGGACCAAAAGCCATCTGGAAAGTCATGGCATTACAAAGTTAAGTTGAAAGTATATTCTTGCATTTTCCTCCTAGGTCAACCAAACTGTGGCAGCATTGAAAGCCAATAATGTCACTGTGGGAGCCCGGGTACAGTCATCTGCATATTTCTCTGGTGATCAGTTTTCCAGGGACAAGGAAGGTAAGCAAAGGGTTGCCACAGAATTAATCTCTTGTCTGCTGTCTGAGGGTTTCAAACTGTAGAAGCTTCCTGTTCTCCTGTGTGGGCAGGTTTCCTCTGAGCTCAGACACTGATGGTTTCCAGCCTTAGGTGGTGCCGGTCATTAATTGTGGCTTGAATCATTTGTCTGATGAATACTATTTTATACTAATGGTGACAGTGACTCTGAATACTCTTGCTACCCTTTAGGAAGTGTTTGTAATATGACAGGTGTACCAGAGATGTCATGAGAGGCAAGGCTGTGCCAAATTCCTGGCTAGCAAATAGTGAAGCCAGGGGAATGCTGATGGAGGCCCTCAGCTAGACTACATGCCCTTCAGCCTTTGGCCTGACCATCATCCTTCCTCAGGGCCCCTGGCGGAGGTTGCTCTTTACAGTCCCAGTATCTCACATCTCCTGAGAGAGCTCTTGGTGTTCTATCAGTGGAAATCAGTTCACTTTGCAAAAGAAATTGCTTTGGTTGTATTTCCATCTTTCCTTCCTTCCTTCCCTTCCTACCTTCCATCCATTCTGAGAACTGAACCTCCAGTCTCAAGCACACTGGGCAGACTCTGCCACTGCTCGACATCCTCAGCCTGACCTAGTGTGGTTGGTGCAGAACACCAGAAGTTAAAATTAGATTCTACATTCTGCACAGTCAATTGTTCTTCCTGTTCTGTTACCGTGTGTGTGTGTGTGTGTGTGTGTGTGTGTGTGTGTGTGTGTGTGTGTGTGTATGTGTGTGTGTAAGATGTTTGCGTTCTTACAAAGCAGATACCTAGGAGAGACAAATCATGTAAATGATTTTACTTATTTTTTTTTTTATTTCTTTGAAGTGAGCATACTCATTCCTGTTCAGTAATTAGCTTTCTTCTTTTCTGAAGCAGGCTTGCAAAAAAAAAGGAGCCATATAAAAGAGATGCAAATAGGTCTTGCTGTTACAGCTGGTTTGTGATTGTATTTGTATTTGGGGCTTCAACTAAGAAAGCTGGCCTGAGTCTTTATTTGTTAAGGGTATGTAGGGCCATTCGATACACAGTCACACCTGTGGCAGCATCCCCTATTACATCTCATCCACTGTATTTTTCTTGTCTGATGGGTGGGTCTTAGTGTCTTTGTTTTACCAATGCAGAAACTGAAACTAGAGTTTAAGTGAATTTCCAAAGCCACGTAGAACAATAATTTGAAATGGATTGTTTGATTCAAACCACTACAGTTATTAGTAATAATTTTTCCTTCATTCCCTGTTCTGTTTCTTTCAGAAGATTATGTTCGCTATGCCCATGGTCTGATCTCTGATTACATCCCTAAAGAATTAAGTGATGACTTATCAAAGTCCTTGAAGTAAGTGTTGTTCATCTCCAGTCTGATTCACAAGCTTGTAGCTTGAGCTTTCCTGCCTGGCCCACAGTCAGGACAAATCTCTCTCACCCGCCAGTCCCAAGCCGCTCAAACCCGATCAAGTAAACACAGAGACTTATATTGGTTACAAACTGTATGGCCGTGGCAGGCTTCCTGCTAACTGTTCTTACAGCTTAAATTAATCCATTTTCATTAATCTATACCTTGCCACATGGCTCGTGGCTTACCGGCATCTTCACATGCGGCTTGTCATCATGGCGGCTGGCAGTGTCTCTCTTACTCAGCTTTCCATTTCCCAGCTCTATTCTCCTCCTTGTCCCGCCTATACTTCCTGCCTGGCCACTGACCAATCAGTGATTTATTCATTGACCAATCAGCAACACATTTGACATACAGACCATCCCACAGCACAAGCTCCTTCGTGTTCCCTTCTGACAGGGGGTCCTCGATGGCATGGCCTGTCAGGTTGTTAGGAGATGTTGTTATCCTTGGGCTGCATCACACTGTGACCAGGAAAAGACTTTTAATAGACATTACATAGAATGATTTGATTTTGTAAAAACTGCTTGTAGCTATGTAAGTTTGGGGTTAAAATTATAGCTTTGTGCAGTTTTAGAGGATACCCTGTGTTAAATTTTTGTCCCTATGGCAGTTAATCTGATCCTTTGTGGTCGTTTTAGGAGAGAGATGGGAAGTAAAAGCAGACGGTAATAGTTTTAAGAAGTACGTGTGCCAGTTCTATAGGATGCCTCCTTCACTGTTATAAGATCTCCACCAAGTACCTGCAGCCCAGTGCTGAGTGCTCTGGTCACCGCAGACTATCCTGAAGGGCAGCAAGATGCTTGGTCTTCAAGACGACCTTCCTGTATAAAGACCTTTAATGTATTTGAAAGACTTTCCTTTTCCTGTTAATTTTCAAGATATTAGTGGTTGGTATTAAAGTTTCATGTGTGTGATGATTTAATAGCTTTTCCTGACCCTGATTAAACCCTTTTTCTTCTTTATTGTGAAATAAGTGATAATATAGTTGCTACTTACAGCAAATTCCATAGGTCCTGCTGTCCTAGTCTGCCTTCTGTTGCTGTGATAGAACACTAACCAAAAACAGCCTGGGGAAGGAAGGGATTATTTTGACCTACAAGTTACAGTCCATCTTCAAGGGAAATCTGGGCAGGAACCTGAGGCGTGGTAATAAGAGACGTGGCTCATTAGCTTGCTTATGTAGCTTTCTTATACAGCCTGGGCCCACCCCTCTGGGGATGGTGCTGCCCACAGCGGGCAGGGCCCTCCCTCATCAGTCAAGACCGTACCTCAGAGACATACCCACAGGCCAGTCAGTTTGTTCAAGGCAATTCTTCAGTTGAGGTTCCCTCTTCCTGGGTGATTCTAGGTTGTGTCAAGTTGACAATAAAAACTACCTAGCACACCTACTTCAAAAAATTGAAGTAGAAACTGGTTCCTTTACTAGTTAGGGGTGTGGAAAGCTTGCTTTTACTAAGCTTCTCTCTGCTTGACGTTTCTCTGGATTCCCACGCTGCTTGTCTTGATAAAGGCCTTTGTTTCCTATCTGTTACTTGTGCTGACTTTTTCTTTACATTAAAATTTGGGTTAAATATTTTGGGTGGAAGATAATGCAAACCAAACTACTCTTTGATAGAGGAACGATAACATTCATGTGACTTTACCCAACAGTTGCAGTACTTTTCACTTTTAAATGAATGCTAGCATTGTCATTTATGAATAAACAAACAAAAAAAATACTTCCGAGGTGAACATGAAGCAAGTCACTTCCACAAAATGGGTTCTAGCTGTGTCTTTTCACTTAGACATTACTAGTGTAAGGACATAAGAGGCAAGATGTCATTCATTCAATGAAACTGCCTTCTTCACTGAGGTGAGCTGGACAGTATGTGAAGGTCAGGTCTCTCCAGATAAGACTCACTACAGCTTCTCTGTTGTCTATGAGACATGAGACATACCCTAACAGTGATTCTTATTTTTAACTTCCTTAGGCTTCCAGAACCTCCAGCTTCATCTTCAAACCCTCCATCAAAGGTAAGAAACTGTGACCAAGGTGTCCTTGGGGACTTAGAAAACTACTGTACCTTTAACCATCACTTCAGCCTTTCTATTCTGTTTTAAAGGGTAAAAAAAATCTATCTTGCATAACATGGTATAACTTGAATTCTGATTGTATGACTGTTTTAGTTTGTAGATTTTTCCTGGATGGTGTAAAGCAAGTTTATTTTAGCAAAGACTCTTTAGCATATATGGTCAGGGCTAGCGAGCTGGCTCAACAGCTTCGAGAGCTTGCTCCTTCTGCAGAGAACCAGAGTTGGTCTACAACCACCTATATAACTCCAGCTCCAGGGCACCAGGAGACTTGATACCTTCTTTGTCCTCACTGGGCACCTGCACACACCTTTTCATATGCACATACACATAAATAAAAATAAATCTTTATAGATATATAATTAAAATTTTTTTTGCCCCTTAAGATAGGGTCTCACTATGTGGCTCAGGCTGGCCTTGAACTTAGTCCTTCTGCCTGTCTCCCAAGTCTGAGATTACAGATGTCTGCAGCCATGCTGGCTGAAATCTTCTTGCATTGACTACCTGTAACTGAATGTCATTTTGCCAAATTAAATTGTCATTGGCACAAAGGGATACAGGGCTTGATTTTTCTAACACAAAGAGTACTTTGAAGAAAGGATGACTTGGGCTTTCCTGAGTTTGAAAAGCATATTTGTGTATGACTGTCATCTGTTAATAGGAATCCTTTGTGCGTTTGTGTTCCTGTGTATATAAGGGTGTGTGTGCACACACACATGTCCACATATGTGGGTTCACTTGAGCACACATACCTGTGAAGGCTAGGGGACAGCCTCAGATACTATTCTTCAGGAAACACCATCCACCTTGTTTTCCCTTTTTTTTTTTATTTTTTTGAGACAGGGTTTCTCTGTGTAGCTTTGCGCCTTTCCTGGATCTTGCTCTGTAGACGAGGCTGGCCTCAAACTCACAGAGATCCACCTGCCTCTGCCTCCCGAGTGCTGGGATTAAAGGCATGCGCCACCACCGCCCAGCTTGTTTTCCTATTGTCTCTCACTGGCCTAGAGCTCACCAAGGAGGGCCAGACGGGCCATCAATCCCAAGGGATCTGCCTGTCTCTGTCTCCCCAGTGCTAGGATTACAAGCATGCGCCACTACATCTACTTTGTTATATGGGTTCTGGACGTCAAACTCGAGTTCTCTTATTAGCATGACAAGCTTTCATCTCCCCAGCCTTTTTGGAATGCCTTTCCCTCTTCAGAATAGTCTCAGAATTGCCACCCAAACTCCTCCACAGCTTGTGTTAATTTTCAGATCCAGATGGAGAAGCCAGGCATTAGCTATACCTAGTCACAGCTGTAGCCTGCCTCACAGTTCTGGCCAAATATTAGATCCCTATGTGTTACTCCAAGATGAGAATAAGCATGCACCTTGATTTTTTCTAAAGCAATGGTTCTCAACCTTCCTAATGTTACAACCCTTTAATACAATTCCTCGTGTTGTGATAACCCCCAACCAGAAAATTATTTTTATTGCTACTTCATAACTGCAATTTTGACTATGGTGAATCATAATGTAAATGTCTGATATGCAGGATACCTGATTTTCAACCCCCCCCAAAGGGGTCACAACCCACAGGTTGAGAACTACTGGTCCAGGGTATCACCCAGAGCCTTTTTTACTCCCATAAAGGATAGCACTAGGCAGAGATCTACAAAAGTCTGCTCTACCCAGATACTTTCCATTCAGGTTAACCTTTAGCAGTAACTACAAAGGACAGAGAGAAAAATAATTGCCCTACTTTAACAAAGATGGTAGGAGCTATAAGAATGTTTGTTGATTTCTCTTTTTCAAAAAAATTAAGTGTATTTCTTTTCCTCAAATCTGTCTTCCTTGGTAACTCAGAGATCACCTATGGATTAGTCTTGCTTTACCCAGCTGGACTGCATAAGGGGATGGATTGACCACATGCTGGTTACCGGGTGATTGGAAGGGCCTGCACTTGACTGTGCTTGGGGTGGATCTTTTGCTCCACCCCTTGGCATTTCTATAAAAAGCCCTTTAGTAGCGACAGAAGGGGCTGGTGGATAAGGATCCAGGGCTTCCTGAGGCTGTCCTGTGTTTCTGTCTTTCTCCCTCTATATTTCTATCTAAATCTCTTATCCTTCACTCCTCAAGAGTACCCAGGTAAAGGTGGGGGCCAGTCCCCCACAAATGGCACCCAAGCAGGGAACAGGGACTTCGAAAGGAGAAGGGAGGCATCGTGGGTATAAGGCATGCCAATAAGGAATTGAATAATAAAGGCTACGGTATTTTATTCTCAGGAGTGGAAGTTAGGCGGTGGAATCCTGAAGTTAAAAAGTGAGGCTACAGCGTATATTTCTTTCTATCAGGGTTTCTTTCTTTTTCTCTCTCCCTTAATTTCTATCTATAGGAAAATAGTGTAAGAAGAAATTTAGAATATGAGTAGAATGTAGGAATGTAGTTTAAGAAAAAAATTAGGATAAGATAAGCAACAAAACAGAGGAACTATGTCCTTGAATCTCCAACTAGGGGGCTATGAATGCAAAATCCTGGGGAAAAATCAGAGAAAAAATTTATTAAAGATGAGAAAAGTGGGCAGAAAAAGATTACTGTGGAAGCTTTTGGCCTATGAACAGCTTAACTTTAAGTCCTGAATGGCAGAGGAAAGAATTTTCCCTGATGCGGATGCGGATGCGGACACAGACGAAACAAAATTCTCCGCTCCAATGGCAAACACCATTACAATACTGTACAATCAAAATTAGTTTCCGTTTGACCATAAAATCAAAGTTAGGAGAACAGAAACTTTGGGGAAGACTTAGAAACCTTCTCTAAAAAACTAAAAGCTTTTCAGGTCTTTGCTTCTCAGATTTTTTCTCTTTCTGTAAAGGCATAAATTAGATTCACCTGGAAATAACATCAGTATGGGAAAATCACCTGTAATAGCTCTAGAAAAAACAAAAAAACTTCTTGAAATATGGCAAATCCTCTCTGCTAGTTTGGTCTCTCCTTCAAGTCAGTATTAGAAAAACAGCAGCCAGAATCCCCTGTGGCTAGAGCCTAGCCATAGTACAGGTGGAGAGCCAGAGAGCCCAGCAGGGCAGCTTCCTCCCGGCAGTGGTGTGGGACCTGGAGATGGGCTGCTGGTGTGGAGGAAGACAGGAACTCTGTATCTGGGGAAAGGAGGTAAGTCAGGACAAGACAAAGATCTATCCAGGAGGGAATCTCTCTGAAAAGGCTGGAAAGACTTTTATAAGAACTTTAATTTTCTTTCACTGACCTGGTATAAGGCTGGAGACAAGTGCCACCCTAGTGTCGGGGGTGGATGCAACCCACCCCAGGGAGAGTGTGAGATGAAGAGAGGTACACCTGTCAAAGGGTAATGCAGACGTCCTAAAGCAAGGTTAGGGAGAACAGAAACCTCCTGGGGCAAAAAAAGTTGGTTTGATTTTCAGTATGAAAACAAATCATGTAAATGGAAAAGGAGTACCTGAAAGGCAGCATGGGAAAAATAGTCCGTAATGTCCTTGTAGCCTCCTACTCCTTCTCCATGTGTCCTAGGGATTCTGGTGTTCAGAGGACATGCTGTACTGGATGATATAGTATAAACAGCACAAGCTGAAGCTAGGTGTTAATCCCACCTTTAATTACCACCTTTAATCACAGTACTCAGAAGCAGAGGCAGACAGATCTTTTGAGTTTGAGGTTAGCCCTGTCTACAGAGTGAGTTCCAGGATAGCCAGAGATACACAGAGAAATTCTGTCTTGAAAAACAACAACAAAAAAAATTACTTAAACAGCACAGGCCATCTCTGGCCTCTGACCTTCCTATTTGTGCCCAAGAGTTGACTGGTTTTTATAAAGATATGAGCGCTTTCAGGAGTCTCTGCGTGTAGTTACGTAGTTATAACAGGTTGCATAGAACTTCACATCCTCACTATACTTGGTGTCCTGCGGGCTCCCCCGACCCCATGTGTTCACGTGCCTGCCTTTGCTGCTGCCCAGCTCCCTACCCCATTAGGTTTTTGGTTTGTCAGTGTCAACTGGCAGGAGCTAAATGCAGTTACTGGGCTTAGAGACATTTTTATAAGAGTGCTGAAGACCACAGACTGTTGGGCTAGGGTACACTGCCTCACACCTGCTTAGTAATGTTCTTTGTGTCTTTCTGACCCACTTGTTATTTCTCATGAAGCAACTGCCCAGTTGATAATGATTCAGACTTTTAAATCTCAAAATAACAGGAAATACCAAGCCCTTATTTTCCTAGTGTATATAGCAGAATTATGCCAGAATTAGCGTAAGAACTGGTCACATGCAGAAGATACTGCTCCCCCTCCACTCCCTCCCCTTCCTTCACTGCTCCCCTTCACTTTTCATCCCTTCCCCTCCCCCCTTCACTGCCCTCCTCCCTTCATTCCCCCCCATTCCTTCCCCTTCCTCTTCTTTTCCTGTTCTCCTTTAATAAACACTTTGTTTTTCATGCGGATGTGAGCTTTTAAAGCACCTTCCCTCTTCCTACATGTTGACCATTTGTACGGTGGTGTCCTTGTCCTATGGACCAGAAATGAACAGCAGATATCTTTGTTTGACTTTTCAGTGAAGTGGGGCAAGTCCAAGTGCTTTATAATGCCATCTCTCTGTGATATATTTAAAATTAATTTATTCTTTGACAATTTCATACATATATGTAATATATCCTACTGCCGCTTCCTCCATCCACCCAGCCTCCCCCCACTGCTACACGTCCCCCTTCCTCCCACCAATTCCCACCCCTTTCTCATGTCTTTTTATTTTGCTTTTGGTTTTGCTTTGTGGCCCACTGGGTTTAACCAGGGACCCCCCTGTGAACATGGGTGTGGAGTTGTCCTCTGGAACCTGAGTAATTCACCAGTTGCTTCATCACCTGAAGACAGTAACTTCCTCTCTCCTCAAAGCCCACAAGTGCCTTTACTTCGCCTAGGTGGGATTAGGACCCACGAGTTCCGCTTCATCTATGGCTGTGTCTTGTCCATTCTCTTTGCAGGCAAGTGCAGCTGTTGTGAGTTCATGAGTGCTTGTAAGACAGTGGTTCGTGGCCTTCCTCTCAGTGGGCTAACGCTTCCATCTTTTGCCCCCTTTTCAATGGTGTTCTCTGAGCCCTACAGGAATGTGGGTGTCCCCTTTAAGGCTGAGCACTCAATAAGCCATATGTTCTCATCACCTGGACTCAGACTGCTTCAAAGAGAAGTTTCTTTGATCAAGGCTAAGGACAGCACTAATCTTGAGTCAACTCTGACCTGTTCTTAGCTTCTGCAACTTCTGCCAGGTCTCCGAGCACCTGGGCACACTTCCTGAGTCCATGGAGAAATGCTTGCCTTAGAGAAGGGACACAAACATCCTCATGACTTCATGTTCAGCCTTCATTTTGCCAACTGTCAGCTTTGCTGTCCTGGCTGAAGGCCTGTCTAGTTCATGTGCCCCTCCACACCGTATCTGGATGGGAAGGTGTATTCTTTTGTTCGTTTTATCTTTTGACAATCTCATTCAATGTTTCTAGCTGGACTGTAACTTAATCTGTAGCCCAGGTTGACCTTGAACTCATGGCAGTCCACTTGCCTCAGCCTCCTAAGTGTTAGGATTGCAGGCGTGTGCCACCACACCTGGCATGCATCCATTTACTTTGTGCTGGTAGGTCATTACTGTATAGTAAGCCAGCCTTTGCTGTTGACGATTCCTTTGCTAGAGATTGCTCCGTGGCCAAGAACATCTTCCTCTCTCGGTTTCTCCTGGCAAGGAATTTCAGAAATCCTGTGTCTTTATCTTGTGTGCTGGGGGCTGGGAGCCACAGCTCTGCCAGTTCTTTGTCCAGCAAATGCAGAGTGTGAAGAAGGAAGCAGGGATGAGTCTGCATTTCTCAAGGGCACTGGTGCTGACATGTATGCGCCTGGTATTTCCATGAAGAGCTTAAAAAGGTCTGTGCAAATCCACATTGTGATCACCCTGCAGTCTGCCCTCTGCACGGCACAAGGCCACCCACTCAGCCCTGATTTATCTGAGAGGACTGGTGGGACTTCCCTTCCACATTATGACCACCCGATACTAAGTGCACAGAATTCTCACATGCGTAGGTGGTGGTGGTAGGTCCTTGGTCTTTTGGGGGATCCAGCTCTCAAATAAATCACTCACGGAGGCTTATTCTTACTTATAGATGTCCCGCCTTAGCTTGGCTTGTTTCTTGCCAGCTTTCCTTAACTTATCCCATCTACCTTTTGCCTCTGGGCTTTACCTGTTCTCTTACTCCATGGCTTACTGTGTAACTGGGTGGCCCCTGGAGTCTTCCTCCTTCTCTGGCTACTTCTTCCTTCCAGATTTCTCCTCTATATATTCTCTCTGCCTGCCAGCCCCACCACCTATCCTTTCTCCTACCTTGCTATTGGCCGATCAGTTCTTTATTAGACCATCAGGCATTTTACACAGGCACAGGAACACAGCTTCACAGAGTTAAACAAATGCAACATAAACAAAAGTAACACACCTAAAAACAATATTCTACAACACATAGGTGCAAAGGGATCTTGTGAATAGTGAAAATATGTGAAGGTTTGACTTAGCTGCACTGAGCCTAATGGACACAGAATGCATGTGAAGACTTGAGATTAACAGACACACACACACACACACACACGCACGCACGCACGCACGCACGCACGCACGTCATTTTTTTTTTTTAGAAAGATAATTTTAAAAAAAGAGTTATGAGGCAGGGACAGCAGGATGGCTCAGGGGATAAAGATGTTTGCTGTCAGTCCTGAGTTACTGAGTTTGGTCTCTGGGATCTATCCAGTAAAAGCAGAGAGCCAAGCTTTTCAAGTTGTCCTTTCTCTTTCACATGTGCACTGTGGCGTGCACACACACACACACACACACACACACACACACACACACACACACAAATAAATAAATGTATTTTAGTTTTATTATTATCATTAATTTTTTAACTTTATTTTGAGATCTGACTCCACATCCTCTGCTTCCACCTGGAGTGTTTGGTTGGGTTCTCTGTTCTCGCGCTGCTTGCTGTGCAGGTTTTTGTGTGGATGAATGGGGAGGCTGAGTGGAAGAGAAAAGGCAAGGCTCCCACTGTGCCAAGTTGGTGGTCACAGAATAATGCTGCCTGTGTTCAGTAGTGGACAGTAGAGCAGGCTGGGGCTGGATGGCATGAACCAACTGGCAGCAGGAAGGGGATTTTTGACTCCAACTTCTAGGCCTTTTATTGGGCCCCTCCACTGTCCCTGCAGCCTGTAACCCCCTGGAAATCCACAATGCCTGCTCCATAAAACGTGGGTTTATATCATTGAAGGACTGAGAGGGCCGAGCCATGTACCTATTCATTTGTGGCCCATCACCACCATGGCTGCTTCCTGGAGGAGACGTCTGGCTTCGTCCCTGAGGTTCTTGTCAAAATGTGAAAGTTTGTAAAGTGTGAACCTGTTGGAGTCCTCTGGGTCCCCAGGGTGTATTTGTTTGTTTTTAACGGATGGTGAGAGGATGGTGTCTGACGCTGCTTCGCTGCTCTAACATTGCAGAAACTAAAGTCATCAGATGAGCCTGTAGAAGCAAAAGAAGATTACACTAAGTTTAACACTAAAGACTTGAAGACTGGCAAGGTATGTGTGCCCAGGTGTACTGGCACGCTGTACAGGCCCAGTGGCCTCACATCTCCAAGCATGGTTGCACTATTGGCTACACTTATACTTTTCACCAGGAAAAATGGTTAACTTGCATTTCTGGCATCATAATTCATTCACAATTGTTCAGATAGTGAATGTGTTAAATTAATACATTTTGCAAATCCAAGAAAAGCTTTGGGTACACAGAAAGGGTTTGAATTTTGCTGTGTGTTCATAGTGATGGATGAAAGGGCAGCAGTTTCTCCATGAATTGTTTTTCAATCCTATTGCCAAGAAGGTTCCCAGAAATTATAGTAAATAACAAATGTACCAGTTCCACCATTCAGCATTCACCCTGCAGATGTCTGCTGAGTAACCTTTCTTGCTGGGTTTTATTTTACGCATGCATCCTGAGTAACATGCTGCATTCATTACCTAGGTTTCGGCTCTGCCCTTTTGTTTAGCATTATGAGAGTGTGTGTCATTAAACCTCCCTTGCCACACTGGTCCTGGCACACAGTCACGTGATTTCACCAGTTCCTGTGTTTGCACATTCAGGTTAGCAACCGGATGTTTGCTTTGGTGAAAGGAAGGCATTCTTTTTCAATCCTCTGCTCTGACCACTTCAGTGCCTACCGTTTAGAAAACTTCAGCTCAGAGAACACCCAGCCTTTTCAGGCAACTGAAATAGACAGCTAAAATACTTTCCAGAAATGCAGGAAAGCTGGAACTCCAGACGCTACCAGCAAGTATCCTGCGTCCATGCCTGCACTGAGTCTTACTTTTACTTTTGACATTTTTGCTTGTCAGACGAGACATTTCCTCAACAAGAAAGGTCTGTTCTCCAGGTTGCTCACTGCTACTTCGTGTTCGCACAGGCTATCAGTTGTGACCCTGGCCTTTTTGTGTGTTGAGACAGCGATGCTTCTGTGTTGAGCTGTGAGAATTTATTCTGATTTAAGGCTAGTAACTCTTTTCATGACACATGCAGCGTACAAAAAAATTCCCAGTGTGTTTTTTGCCTTTTTGCTTGATTTAAACAGTTGTCAATTTTTATGATTTTCCCTTTTTTTTTCCCCTTTGTGCTCACCCATCCCAAGACAAGTTATCTCCCATTTAGATTTTAACAATGTATAGTCCTTATATTGTTTAATTTCTTTTTTTTTTCAATTTTATTCCTTTGGCTTTGGTAGCAGAAGAAATTCCAATTTTAAGTTTTGCCCAAATAGCTCATTCTCAGTGTTCTGTGTACATGGGGACATTGTGAGTTTCTCTGGTGGAAACTTTTCTGCCCTGTCTTCCATGGAAAGGCCATTCACTTCCCCGTGGTTACACCCACCATGGCACTGAAGAGAGTCAGTGACAGGGACCAGATAGAAATGTCCAGGGCAGTGTGATGTGGAGTCAGCCCTCTGGAGAGCATTTCCCTTTTGCCACCTCACTGGGACAGCTCGGCAGCAGCCTGGAGTACACTGTCTTGCAGACCATCTTTTGAATATGACAGCTCTGTGTAGATGTAACCAGCCGTCTTATTAAATAAGAAACACAGAGCCGATTCAGAGAAGAAAGCCAAGAGGTCAGAGCTAAGAGCCTTACCCTTCCTGCTTCAGCGATCCTCCTCAGCCAAGAGAGCTCTCCAAAAAAAAGGGCCTACTTCCTGTGTGTATGTCTTTATATAGTCTAGCTGTTCTGCCTTCTCATTGGTTGTAAACCTAAACATATGACTGCCTCGTCATTGCCTGTATGTACAGCCCTCCAGGTCCTCTGTGGTATTGAGATTAAAGGCATGTGTCTCCAATGTTGGCTGTATCCTTGAACACACAGAGATCTACCTAGCTCTGCCTACCAAGTGCTGGGATTAAAGGCGTGCACCACTACCGCCACGCTCTTGCTATGGCTCTAATAGCTCTGACCCCCGGGCAACTTTATTTATTAACATACAATTAAAATCACATTTCAGTACAAGTAAAATACCACCACAGCTCTGCCCTTGGTTTTCTGTAGAGCACAAACAAAATCAGATTGTGAATTGTTCATCATTGGGTGAAGAACACAGGCTGTAATTCCCCCAACAGTCGCCACCATCGCCTCCATTGTCTGTATCGTTACATTTAATGCACCCTCAAAATGATCCCCGGAGGGAACCATCCTTGGAGCATTCCAACTCCTCAGAGTGGGGCAGGTTTTCTTTAGAAGTCTGGGTCTTGAGTAGGTAGCAGGCTTATTTCCACTCCAGGACACATGTCCCCCCTGAACCCAGACTCAGGCTTATGTGACTCGCGTGTGTGATGATTTATAAATATTGCAAATCTCTCTTTATTTTTATTAACAGAAAAATAGCAAAATGACTGCAGCTCAGAAGGCGTTGGCTAAAGTTGACAAGAGTGGAATGAAAAGTATTGATGCTTTTTTTGGTGCAAAAAATAAAAAAGCTGGAAAGATTTGAAGCGTTGAAAATAAAATCTAATGACGCAGAAAAAGAAGGTTGCCTCTTGCTTGCTCTGTCTCTCTTCTTGCCGCTGCCATCCTGACCTTAGTCACTCCACTAAGGAACAGGAGAAGTAGTTTTCAGATCCTGCCAACACTTGCTGGGGTTGGACTGTATGTCTAACAAAGTATTGCATGAGGACAGGGTCTCTGGAATGTTTGCCATGGTGAGAAGTCATCAAGTGACCAGAGTCACAGTCACAGCTTCCTCTGGAAGGTTTCAGTGGTGGTCAGCCATTCTCTGCTCCTTCCTATGTGGCTTCAACTGAAATGAGATGGACAATAAAACGGTGCATTTTGGTCAATCTTATAATGAGCCATATTTTGTTTGTATGAATTCATGTTCTTTGTAAAAAAAAAAAAAAGTATAAAAATAAAACAAAATTGCAGTCGCTAGCCTTTCTATTATGCAGACACAGCTAGATAATTTTCTTAGAATAAAAAATAAATATTTTCAAGAACTCCAATAGTAATTTTGTTGCTTTTTACACACTGTCATTTTGTAGGCACTTCCCCAGCCTCCTGGGTACTCATAAACAGGCTTGTTAAGGCCTGAGGTGGTGGTAGGGGATGCAGGGCACTTTCCCTTCATGCTTGAGGTACTGGGCTCAGTCTCCAGTACTGCCAAAAATAAATACACGAATGCTTATTTTAAATTACAGTATAATTTTCAATTATTTGGATATTTAATCATTTAATAACCATTTTCCTATACAACTCCTGCACCTAAGGCTTGGGGTCATCAGGAAAAGGGGGCAGAAAGATTGTAAGAGCCAGAAGAACGGGCTTCTGCTGTGAGAATGTCTCTAGAAATAACAGGGAAGCCTTTACCCATGGTCTCGTCAACATGGCTGCCTAAACAAGATCCACATGGGGCAACACCTACAGACATGCTGTCGTGGAAGAGGGGCAGTCAGCCCTAGACAACGAACTACAGGCAACTAAGTGATGCTGAGAGCTAGAAACAGCCCTCCCCAAGGAAGAGCACACCAATGGTGTTAAATATTGAGTGGTCGGCCCTAAAAACAGACATGCAAGTAACATTATATAGATTGAGCAGGTTGTATTTATATATTGAGGAATGTGTATGTGTGTATGTGTTAAAGAAAATAAGTGGTTGTGAATCTGAGAGAGCAAGAAGGGATACATGGCGTGGAGAGAGGAAAGAAAGGAGGAAATTGTGCAATTATAATTTAACTTCAAAAGATATTTTATATATATATATATTTGTAGAAACGCATTTCACAAAAAAGTTAACAAGCAGTGTATTTGGTTTCTTAGGTTAAATAAAATGCATCTTACTATGGTTTTTAAATTTTGTGTGTGGATGTGGATGTGTGTATATGATGTGTATATATGTGAGTTCAAACACAAATGTGCCACAGCACAGTGTGCAGGTCAGAGGAAACCCCGGGTGTATGCTGGTCCTCCTTGCCTGTTTAAGACAGGGTCTTTGTTGTTTGTTGGCTCTGTGCATCATCAGGCTAGCTGGCTTGCAAGCTTCCCGGGGTCTCCTGTCTCTGCATCCAGCCTTGTCAGCAGAGCGCTGGGTTATGGAGTTTGCTAGGCTACTGTTCCTGGCATCATGTCAGTTCTGGGGATTTCAGCTCAACTGCTTAACCCACTGAGCCCGCTCCCCGGCCCTTGGAATGGGTTTAACTAACATTTTCTTGATTAATAATGATGTTGAACATTTTCACATTTTTTAACTAATTATATAGAGAATTGTTCTTTTTCTTCAGTCACTTGGGGTGATAGCCAAAAGCTTTCCACTGTAAATTATTAACTATCATTGTGATTAATAAGTTTTGGGTAAATATTCCTGGACTTTATAAGCATCTATCTATTTCACATATAATTTCTCAAATACTAGTTTTAGGCTCTACTATATTCTTTAAACTCATGTCTTCTGTATTTACTTTCTTTAAAGAACTTTACCTTTCCCATTTCTTCATCTATACATTTATATTATGTTCCTATCCAATGAGTTACATATGAGTTGATGCTCATTTGTTCCAGAAGGGCCAGTGGGGGACCCTTCCAGCTTGCTCTAGTATCGTGTGTGTGTGTGTGTGTGTGTGTGTGTGTGTGTGTGTGTGTGTGTAGTGTAGTGTATTATATATGTTTGTGGGTGTGTATCTGTGCTGCACATGTCTGTGGGTGTGTGGAGGCCTGAAGTTGTTATCAAATGCCTTCCTCTGTCCATCTCTGCCTTATCCTCTCAAACAAGGACTCCCACTAAACTTGGAGCTCATTGGTACAGTTGGGCTGGCTGACCAGCAAGTGCTCCAGGGCCCATCTGATGCCCCCTCCCCACTTCCAGTGCTCAGATTACAGATGTGTGCATCCACATCTGGCTTTTTACATGGACTCTGGGCATATGAACTTGGGTCCCCCTGCTTACACTGTAGGTACATTACTGGCTGCCTCCAGCCCTGCATTTATGTCTTTTAAGAATGCTGCTACCATTGTTTTTCTTTCTACAGTCAGGGCAGACAGGTTCTTGTACT